TTTCTCTTGTAGAGAAATCTCTTGATGTCTCATAGTAGACATCAGCTAATAGCTTTTATTATCAGCTAAGTAAAAACATATTACATTCATCAATAGATTTTTAGTTTATATATATCTTAATTACTTTACATTCAACCTTTATAAGCAAATCAATATTCAAATTTAACTGTTAATAGTTATACTTCCAAGTTTTAAATGACCAAAATTTTCTTTATCTCAGCTCATAACGAAATCTAGTATTCAAAATACACATCTTACCTATTTGAGTATATTCTATTTTAATTCTCACTGATAAGTCAAAACCCCAATTTTCTTCAGTCTTATGCTAGCGTTCTTTCTTTGCCAAGTCGTCTTCCATTGCCCTGCTTTTAAGTCATCAAATAAATCTCCCTGTATTGTTATGTATATTGTTTGAAGTAGAAAAAGCCATCCAGTTGCCATTTTTTTTGAAAGGACTAACAAATCGTCTCTCTATTTTTCCATCTCGACGTAGTTGTCCTGAAATGTTTATCTTCCCTTCAGTCTGTTCTTCTTGATCCTCAGGTTTCTTCTGGTTTGTATAGAAAGTCTTTTCCCTTTTCCATGTTGTCAGTCCGTATTCAAGGCATGATAATATCTGCTAATGCTATTAATAGCATTAGCAATAGCAATGCTATTAATACCATTAGCTATTAATCAGAATTGCTATTGCTAATGCTATTAATAGTAATTAACTATTACTTATTAACATTCCTGTAATTTTGAGGCCATGTATTTGAAGAGCTTGTTTAGATCACATTAGGATTGATTCTAAACTTAACATGGGTAAATTACATGTTTTTTTTAATATTTCCCACAGGTGTTTGACATTTCATCACAGTTCTAAGTTAGCATGGCTGTGAGTAGCAAATCACAACATATTGAGTGGGCCTTTGTTAAGTCTGAGCATTTCTCTCCTGAAGACATCTGGGATTTGATGGGCAGTGTTGCCCACCTCATAGATCCCAAGGAATGCTGATGCTAAGTACACAGGTATCTCCAAAAATAGACACCTTTTTAGATTATTACCTCAGAGCATATTTTGGCCACACCAAAAAGAGTTAATTTCTGCTACCTTTCTTAAAGTAAGACCAGGATTTGTTCTTTTTTTTCCTATTCAAAGATTGAAAAAGAGAAACAAACTTTGGGATAAGTATTGGGAGAACAAGGATATATGCACATGTACAATTTAATTCTTCGTGAATTCTTGTCACAGCACAAAGGAATGTAGAAGAAAAATTTTCTTGTACAAAAAATACCATATGGGAATATAATAAAGATCAGTATAACCTTGACAACTAAATCAATTAACTTTTTTAAAGAATACAGTATGTCTATTGTATGGCCTGAAAAAAAACCAAAAATTTTACATACTCAAGTCTTATATAGGCAAACATGCCAGTTTTGTATCTTACCCTCATTCAAGGTTTCCACAAACCTAATTTTTTCCATCCTGTTTAGGAATGAATACTTGAATGTGTTCAGTTTTTATTCTTTATTCTATTTATATAGCTGCCCATCTTATTTTTATATGAATCTAGGCAGCTTCTTTGCCTTCCTTCTTCTTAGTAATCTATCTGTAGTCTTTTTTTTTAAAAAACAACAACAACACTCTTTGTACTTCAATTTCTCATAATACATTAACGGTACTCAAAATGTTTGTTCTTTTTATGTTGTTTCTGATTTTAAACTGAAGATTTCCCTCTTCAGTTACTACATGAATGGCTCCTACCTCCTTTTTAAACTGTAAGCTGCTTAAAGACTTTTTATGATCCCTGACCTTGGGCCATGCTTACTGGGTTTAATGGGCTACATCTTGGAGTCCCCTAAATATATATTATTCTTTTTTTCCCTTTCACTTAACTACTATGATTAATTTCCCTAAATTTCATCTAGTGGCATCTACCTGTAGTTTTCACTCTTTTTGAGGCAGTATATTTAAGATTTTCTTCAACACTTTCCTAGCAATCTTGAAGTATTATAAAGCAATGTGCCTCTATTGAAGTGATTCATTATAAAAACATATGGTGAGAAAAAGGAGAAAAGCCTTTTGTAGCGATGCATTTGTTGTTCCACCAGTGTGAGAATTAATAATGGTCTGAATTGTTGAACAGGATGATGTGGGTGTGCCCAGATAGCAAGCTCCTCTGTTGTCAAACTATAGGTAGGTTATTACACTCTGACCATCCTTCTGAACCATAAAAACCCATCAGTGTAGTTCTCCAGTCAGATTAAAACAAAATCATAGAATCGCCACAACAAATAGCAAGTCAGTCAGTCCAGATTACAAAAAAGAAAAAAAATCACAGCTATATCACATTAGCATCGTCAAACAGGATCACTGCAGCAAGAAGTATCAATAACAAGAAGACTTTCTTGACCAGACTGTTGAGTGAAGCATACATCAACATACCAGAATACATGCCAAAACAAAAAAGTAAGGTTCTACATTTAGGCAAGAAAAACCAAATGTATAGGTATAGTATAGGGGGTACCTTGCTCAATAGTAGTAACTGTGAGAGGGACCTCAGAGTCCTAGTGGACAATCACTTAAATATGAGCCAGCAGTGTGCTGCAGCTGCCAAAAAGGCCAACACTGTGCTGGGCTGCATTAACAGAGGGATAGAATCAAGATCACGTGAAGTATTAATACCACTTTACAATGCCTTGGTAAGGCCACACTTGGAATACTGCATCCAGTTTTGGTCACCACGATGTAAAAAAGAAGTTGAGACTCTAAAAAGAGTACAGAGAAGAGCAATAAAGATGATTAGGGGACTGGAGGCTAAAGCATATAAGGAACGGCTGCTGGAATTGGGTATGTCTAGTTTAATGAAGAGAAGGACGAGGGGGGACATGATAGCAGTGTTCCAATATCTCGGGGCTGCCACAAAGAAGAGGGAGTCAAGCTATTTTCCAAGGCACCTGAAGGCAGGACAAGAAGCAACGGATGGAAACTAATCAAGGAGAGAGGCAACCTGGAACTAAGGAGAAACTTCCTGACAGTTAGAACAATTAACCAGTGGAACAACCTGCCTCTAACATTCAGTGGTGAATGCTCCAACACTGGAAGTTTTTAAGAAGAGACTGGACAGCCATTTGTCTGAAATGGTATAGGGTTTCCTGCCTGAGCAGGGGATTGGACTAGATCAGGGCTTTTCAACCAGTGGTACGGGTACCCCCTGTGGTACATTGGCACCTGGCAGGTGGTACGTGACCATCCTAGAAAAGTGGTAGCGGGGGAGGGGAATGAGCTGAACCGGTGGCAGCACCACACAAGCCTGAGCGAGAGATGGCTGGAGCTGCAGGGCTGTCAGGGCCCAGCGAAAGCGCCAGGATCAGTGTCGCTTTCCAGCTGATCAGCGCTTCTTCGGGACTACCAGGGCTCAGCTGGAGCTTGGTGCTGATCCTGGTGCTTCTGCTGAGCCCTGAAAAAGCACCAATCAGCTGGAAAGCAGCACTGATCCTGGTGCTTCTGCTGAGCCCAGAAGAAGCACCGATCAGCTGGAATGTTGCAGCATCTCCAGGGTCTTGTGATTTACATTCAGATGTTTGGCAACTGATTCATATTTATGACGGTCACAGTGTCCCAGTGTCCCAGCAGACAGGAATAAAAACCAAACACCCCCACCCCCGCTGCCAATCCTCAACAGAAATGCTCACAAAAATGAAACAGGAGGAAGAGCGCCGCCGGGTGGGCAGGCAGGTGTCTTGCTTGGCTGTAACTTGGGGGGCACTTTTTTCAGTGTCATTGTAACTTTGAACAGTCACTAAGCGAACTGTTTAAGTTGAGGACTACCTGTACTTTATTACTTTTTTCCTTTTTTGGGGGGGGTGTCATCTACCTTGCTAGGCGACTGGTGGTACTCAGATGTTGCCATATTCTAAAAGTGGTACAATGGGTGAAAAGGTTGAAAAACCCTGCAGTAGAGAGTAAAATCCATAATATGTAACTTCCTTTGTTTTATCATAATGTTTATGATTCCTTTCCTGTTATTTTGTCTGTCTGCTTCTCCTAAACAGGCAAAAATTAAGGTATGTTTAACAGCTTATAGTTACAGCTTAAGCAAAAATTTAAAAATGTAAATTCATCAACAACGTATAAACATTTTCTAAATAGATACTTTCTAATTTTATACACTAAAATGCTCTTGAAAGCAAACAAAATTATAAACATATCAATTTATAAACTAACTACGTGACTCTATCTCTATAAAGACTGTTAAAAACAAACTATTAGAAACATATTTTTATTCCACCCTACCTCACTTCCACCATTCAAATATTGCTTGGTGGAATACAAATTTAACTAAATAATAATTGGAGGAGGAGGAGTCAAATGCATCATCAGTCATGAGTCCCTTGGTGCCCAACAAAAGATCTAAGTCCAGCCCTTCTTGATTTCTATTGACTCTTATCTACTGCCAATTTGTCTTGACTGTTAGCAGTTCAGATTCTTGTTTAGAGGTAGCATGGAATAAACTCGTACTCATTTGAACAACCGTGGTTCTTGATTTCTTGCACCTGACAATAATTTTTTTAAAAAATAAAAAAATTACAAAAACACTGTGACTCAATGTTTATGAAAAAAGAAAATTGTTGTTATACCAATCTTCACTGGAACCCTCGGTGTGATACCTAGTATCAACCTGATATTTTACAAAACAAACAAACAAACATTCTGCCTGGTATTATTCTTAAGAGATTATTGTCAGGCACAAGAAATCAGGAAGCAAGGTGGTTCAAAGGAATCCAGGTTTATTGCATGCTAACGCTCTCTACAAGAATCTGAACTACTAATGGTCAAAGCAAACTGGCAGTAAATGAGAGTCATTAGAATTCAAGGTGGGCTGGACTTAGATCTCTTGTGGGCCTGAAGGAATTCGAGACTGATGACATCCTTGACTTAATTTTTCTTCCACACTAAAAATAAGCTCAAATTGGTTGAAAAGTAAGCCTTTAATGAAAACAGAGAAATTAATAAATTAATAAATTTCCAAACAGTATCACATATTAAGTATCTTCTTCTGGAATTTCCATGTTACAGAAAATTATTAGTTCTACGCAACTTAATTTTTACTTATATTTTAGTTATATGACCATGTGTTATATGATTATTATTATGCAAAAACTGGAAAATTATATATTTATAGAATACTGGAGTCACACTGAATGCACAACAGCCTTCGGAAGTGCACTGACATATGAACAAAAGGTACTGATAAAATGGAAACCAATTCAAGAAAAGGTTAAAAATGCACATTACAATTTCATGTAGCACTGAGCAAAGATGAACCTGAAGCATATTTTCCCATATTATTTTTCTTCAGCAAGATTTCCAATTGAGCAGTCATATCTGAGGCATCAATTGTAACTTGAAGCATCGTCCCATTTAAATCCAGTGCCTAAGAGAAGTCAGAGATGCACCATAGGTCTGGAGTGCAGGATGTGTTCCTTTAAAGGCCATCAGAAGTGAACCTGCCTCAGCAACAAAGCCTTTTTCCTGCAACTGTTTTGCTATTTCTATCACATTCCAGCATCCTTCCTCTTGATTGGTGATCATATAGTGAACAAGGTGAGAATAATAAACTGTGGGAATGCATTTCACTACAAATTTCTCATCGAGGAGCAAAGAAAGAAATTCAGAGTCACAGTTGGTGTCATCAACCTGGACAAAAAAAAGAAGCATACAGCTAACATTATTTTTGAAAAATGAATATAGAGTTGTATATTTTATTCACAGATGGAATGATAAGCCACTCAATTTCCCTACTTTTCTTTCACCATCACTGCCTTTCCTCCTCTGTTGGGTAAGAATCCATCCTATATACTGAAAGTGTTGTGACAGATGTAGCCTACTTTAGTCAACTGGATAAAAGTTGATAATTAGATAAATATGCCTTACTTTGTTCCCCAATAGGAAGCATGGATGGTAGAGCCATTTGGAATTTTAAGTTTGAGGTGTTTTCTATCATTTATAAAGTGCACAAAATGGGTGTGTGTACAAGCGGTTGTACAGAATCTGTCAGTGGAAAGGAGAGCTGGTAAAAATGAATAAACACTTTACTTCCCCTTCCTCGTTTGAATGGAAGCCTTGATTGTGGTTCCTTCTACTAAGGAAAAGTTTTGAACTAATGCTCTGAATGTTATCTGAGCAACTTTCCCTGATATCCACTAGCTATTATGCTGATAAGAAAATATGCAAGCTTCCCTGCTTAATGTTTTGAATTAATACAAACCACAATTTCATGTGATTGCACACAACTTCCGAGATTCATGCATATTTACTAGATAGCAAGTATTGTTCCTTATGTGCACTTCGCTTCAGGAATAACATCTTTTCATTTGGATTTTGAGCTGTTATACTAGCAGAATGGCTCATTAAGTTGAATCCCACAATCAACTCTTCACCTTTAGATTACATTGGTAAAACTGGCTCCCAACTGATACAGAGGCTTCGAGAACAAGAACAGCAGGCTTGAGTGATTTGCAAATTGCAGATCGTATTAAAAACAAGATGGCCATGTTCCAATCTAAGCAATTTATATACTTCATTTAAAAGCACTTTAGCAGAAAGTTAAACTGTTTTAATAGCACAAAAAACCTTCAAGTTTCAAATCCAGATTATTTTTTGTAAAAAACCTAATAAATAGGCAATTACATTACTCTAAGTGCTATATACAAATTGCCTGTTTCACAAAAGCAATTCTAGAACATTAAATTCTAAGTATATGAGTGCACTGAATAAGACAAATGATATTTGGCCAGTTTGTTTACGGTGTTTGAGAAATAAAAAGACAATGAATTGTTGTTCCTCAACACGTTGATACTTGTGAAGTATAATAGATGCCACAAAAAAAATGCCACAGCAACCAAAATATCCTGCACCCTCCATGGCTGAAAAAAAAAAGAAAGTTTCAGTTGTACAAAATGGACAAAGGAAAAGGACAAAAGGTTAAACCATAGATTTGATTACAAAATTGAGTTTTAAAGCAATCAATGTGTAAAAATGGAAGAGATGGATTTCACAGCTTGCATTATGCTATAAAAACTCCTCAGTGGGCAGAGTAGATATTGCAAGGTATTGTTTCTTGATGCTTGCGGGTGCGTAATTATCTGACAACTGATTTATTCAGAACAAAAACAAAATACAATGAAAACAAAGGTTATGATTTAAGACCAGTTTGGAGAAAATATGCAATCTCTTATCTCCTTCCAAAATTGGAGCTACAGGTGGCAGTTAGTAGCCCACAACAAAACACAAATCAAGTATTTCATTTTACCTTGAGCACGTTATTGACTCATTTCATCTCTCATCTGTTAACACCCAAAAGTGGATTAGGAGATTTAATGGAAGGCAAAGAAGGCGGCATATACAATCTCATTGCTTGCTCTAAACCCCAATTTATATCTGAAGGAAATCACCTATGATTTGGAGAAGGAAGCAAAGTGCTGCCAATATTTAATTATGACTACTTTGTTGCAAAAAAACCAAGCTGCTTCTGCTTTTAATTGTGCTACTGTTTTCCTTTATTTTCCCCATATACATTTAAAGAATGTAAGAATTAATCCTCTGCTACACTAATTTTATTTCCATTAAAACATAATGTTAAGTGAAGGGCAACAATTCCCAATTTTGTGCCATAAAGTTAGTAAAATTCTGTGCTGACATTTATTTGAAGAAAACTTTCTCTAATAGGTTTTTGATATATGAATGAATTTCCAAACCTATCATCTTATTCTCTGAATATCTTCCGGCGTTGCTGTTTGGAAAAGTGGCTGGCCACTTGTTAATTTCTGCACTCCCCCCATCAACACCTCTTTCTTTCAGCTCACAGAGAGTAGTCAATTGCTAAAGCTCAACAACAGTTTCTCCTTTCATTGTATACAACTGCAATCTTTTCCATCTTTCTCTGCCTACGACAAGAAATGCTTGAAAATGCTCACTAATTGGCAAATAATAATTAAGCTTTGCTTCATTCAACTTAAAAAAACCCCTACTCTAAAAAAAACCCCTCTTAGAAACCCTCAGCTGATCCTATTTCAGAATTAATCAGGAATCATTAATTCAATTATTGTTCTTTTGCTCTGGCCTTGTCTGTTTGGAGTATAGTCTCTGCCAACCTGCAAATACACATATGAAACAAAAGTATCATGTATAAATGTTTATTGGCAGGGAAAGGGTAGAAAGACTCTCCAGGACAGGCTTAGTGTGAGTTTAGTGTTTAGGACTCTTTGAAATATCAGTAGGGTAGAAGAAGCCATTACAACTTTGGGGGGGGGACTTCATTTCACAGGGCAAATGCTGCTATAGAGAGGGCAAACTTCCAGCATCTATACAAGTGGCTTGTTTAATTGATGGAGCAGGCCAACTCTGCTAGGTCATGGGTGGGGAACCTTGGCTCTTTTATGACTTGTGGACTTCAACTCCCAGAATTCCTGAGCCAGCTACGGCTGGGAGTTGAAGTCTACAAGTCATAAAAGAGCCAAGGTTCCCCACTCCTGTGCTAGGTCAAACCAGCTGGTCATGCTGACTGTGGAATTTTGGAAGCTACAGTTCACACATCTTAAAAGTTGCCAAGTTTGAAAAACACTATTTCTCTTTTGTTGAATATTCTTTTTGGATGGTTGTTTTTAACTTCAAGGTGAGCTTCCCCCCCCCCCCAAGTAAATATGGTCCTCTAAAATGGCAAGAGAAGCTAACAAACTGCTTCCTATGTGTTTAATATATTTCAAATGCTAAATTAGTACTCTGATTATGTCTAAATGGAAATAATGTCAGCTGCTGCTATTGTTTTTTTAGGATTTTAAAGGCTGATGCTTAGGTTTCTCCCATATCAGTAGTCCAACAAATCCAGAGGCAGGAGAAGCGTTGCTTACTAAGGTGGAGCAAAAAGACAGACTTCTACCTTTAGGTCTTTTAGATGACAGATTTAAATGCATGAGATTTTAAAATCACAGCAGTGAAAACCAGAAGGTACAGGAGAGCCGTGAAAAGTGAGTGAGTAGCATTGAGAGTGTGCAGACAAATCAACACTTAAAAAAAAATATCTATTTGCTTTGTCTAATTAATGAAGAACAATGTCTGCTTTTGCAAAGGTGACCCCAGGCTTAAGCAGAGAGAAATGGAAGCAGATGCAGACCAAGAACAGGAGAGATACAACTGCCAATGACCTTATAGCTCAATAGGCAACTGCTGGGTGGAATTATAGCATATAGGCATACGTTTACGTAGAATGCCACTGGGAAAGGAAAATACTTGGGATATTTTAGATGTTTATTAATTTAACCAATTTAATGTTAAAATAGCCGCAGGACAGTAACTGTTTCTGAAATGTAAACACAAAGCTTGAGCCAAACCATTGTAGAAAAATAAAACAAATCCCTAAAGAAGAAAACAGATTGCTTTTGGATCATAACTCAAGGGGAAGAAAACAAGTTAAATACAGGAACTGTGCAATTGCTACTTGAGCATATTAGCATGCAACAAACGTACCAAATGCATGAAAAACTAAACCCATTTTCATTTTCTGCAGCATTCTCCTTTAGTATTCTCCTTTAACAATTTACTTGAAAAAACAACCAAACTTACTAAACAATATTTAGAACTCTGGCAATTAATAGGCAGTACTGTATAAATAGCCCACAAACAATGCTAGATTAAGACAAAAGATTTCTTACACAAAATTTACAGAAAACATAAATATAGTTATGAACATCAGAGAGAACAATTAAGAATGAGCCAGCCTCCCCCCCCTTTTATAGCAAGCTTTGCCCTTCTTGTATCCACTCAATATGAGCATTAGGTTGCTGCTTCTCATCTCTTTTTCATCACTAGCAGCCCGCTTGCAGGAGAGGATTGCTCTTGCTGTTCTATAAGTAATCAATTTATGGTAATCAGATTCTTTCTCTTTTAAAAATACAAGATAAGGAATGAAAATTAGTTTAGCTACATATGTTTTTTATGCTAAAGACATGATAGAAAATATCTGAAAGCTAGTTAAAAAAGGTGTGAGTAACATGCAGAATCTGGGAATTGTTGACTTAACACTCACATAGCAGGATAGGCTGTTTCTGTCTATTTAATCAACTAATGGGCCCAGGATGCTACCGCAGCTATGTAGAGGCACTGATGAAGTATACAGTGTCAGCTGAGATAATAATGTATTCTTAAATCAGTGATTTCAGTTTAATAAATCCAACAAATACATATTAGAGTTCAGGAGTTTGAATTGCTTATACAATGCAAAAACAGGTAAAATTAATATGTGAATAATATGCGGTAGCATCCTGGGCCCACTCACATAGCAGGATAGGCTGTTTCTGTCTATTTAATCAACTAATGGGCCCAGGATGCTACCGCATATTATTCACATATTAATTTTACCTGTTTTTGCATTGTATAAGCAATTCAAACTCCTGAACTCTAATATGTATTTGTTGGATTTGTTAAACTGAAATCTTCACTGATTTAAGAATGCATTATTATCTCAGCTGACACTGTATACTTCATCAGTGCCTCTACATAGCTGCGGTAGCATCCTGGGCCATTAGTTGATTAAATAGACAGAAACAGCCTATCCTGCTATGTGAGTGTTAAGTCAACAATTCCCAGATTCTGCATGTTACTCACACCTTTTTTAACTAGCTTTCAGATATTTTCTATCATGTCTTAATATATATATAACTTATGACCAATCTTTATCGATTCAACAAATAAAAGTTACCAAAAACTCATAAAACCCACAACTGATGAAAGTAATCAATGAATATTAGTTATTTGTCAGTGAAATACTGTCAAATGTTTTGTTACTATTTTAACTAAATGGAATTTTAGAGTAGTTTTTTTGTATGTATGTGTATACAAACACACACACACACACACTATCAATGTTTGACATGTGTTTTTTCCTAAAAAAATATTTTTTTAAATAAAATATATTTCTTTGATAACAGCACTTTTGGCTAAGGTCCCTGGTGATGAGCTGAGGCTTACCAGTTCACATGCTAAATGTGCAATTTGGAAGCTAGAAACTAAATATTATTAATCTTCAATACTACCTAGAATTATAAACAAAACTCAAAGCTCAAAACAAAACAAATCTTAGCAGAACTTTTGTTTGAGAGAAGACTCCATTCACACTAAATGTGATAGCCTGGTGCTACTGGCAAACCTAATATTCTTTCAATTATTTATACTCGAGATTCATTGTCAAAGATGAAACAGTTATTTCTGATCAGGGAAATACACAGAAACAGTAATCTGGAGGTGGATAAGCAGCAAATACAAGGGTAATGTAATTTCAGAAAAGCTAGGAAAAGAAGCCAGCCTTTTTACTGCAGGCAGAAGCAGCTGAAATCCTGGTATCAGCACTTCCCCCACCATTATCTCTTTAAATGTAAACATCCATAAAGCTGTCAGTATTAGACAACAAATGACTAAATAATACATCTGATCAGCAAGTGAGCACTGCATTTCCTCTTGCATATCTGTCGCTGTGAGTCTTGCTAGGAAAATCAATAGGCTCTGATTTTGCTTTCCAGATGCTGGTTATGGTTCTCCGGTGTAATATAAGCAAGGAGAGAGCTTTAGGAAACAAAAGAGCCATGCTTAAACGGAAAAACGAGCTAACTCAAAAAAATTTGCCTGGCGACAGTATCTATTATTCAAGCACCATATAATGTAGCTTAAACTAGGCAAGAACTGAATTGTAAGAAAAGGGTAACACCTGAACAGGAAAAAGAAAAGCCTCAAAAGAGAAAGAAAAACCCACCCAATGATATTCTTGAAATGTTATGAGATGCTAAGTTCGTGCCAATTATTTAAGTAGTATAAAAAGGTTTATATATTCTGTCTCCTCAGAGATGTGGAGCATCTGCTTAGTTCTTGAGCCAGACAACCATTTATTCTCTTCCTTGGCTATGAGTATTTAAGAGGGAAAGAGAACAAATTGCTTTCCCCTTCCTGGCGCTACTTGAGAATGGGGCTGTATAAAACAGCTACCCATAAAAAAATTATGGGCAATGTACATTATCTGCAGCAATTTATATTTATTTAAAAGCTCCATTGTGGACATACAACATAAATATAAATGTTATATAAAATCTGAGAATCCCTAAGGTTAATTAACTTCGGCAACTCTAGCCAGCATGATTAAAGGCAAGTGATACTGGATGTTGTAGTTCAGAGCTACAGGTTCTCATCTTATAAACAGGTAATACTATGATCAAGTGGCTGCTTTATAAGTGTCTCCCTATATGCCATATGTTCATATGAAGACATAGTGGTCTGGCCAGGAAGAAGCACATTGTTTAGCTTTATAATTCTTCAAGTGTTAGAAGCCAGAAGTTGGTCTGCTCTAGTGAATCTTCAGCTTCCACATGAAGGATACACAAAGGATCCCCTGAAAGCTATTAATGAATTCTAATATACAAAAATGTAACTTGTACTACTGTTGTCAAAGTGAATCATCCCTTTCAAATATTTTGCCCCTAACCACCATGTTGTCCAGTAAGATTTAATAAGGTTTTTGTTCATTGACTTGTCAAGATATCTAAAACTGAATCTACTATGCTCAGTATATTCCAGTGTATACAGAATTAATGACAAAAGGATTGTCTAAGTCAATAGTGGCGAACCTATGGAACGCGTGCCAGAGGTGGCACTCGGAGCCCTCTCTGTGGGCACACGTGCCATTGCCCCAGCCCCGCCTCCCCACACGCCCCCTCCCCAGCAGCCCCCCTGGAAGAGAGTCGCCCCGAGCGTGGCCCACGCGGAGCAGCGCAGCCAAAGACATGGCAGCCAGGCAGCATAGACAAGACTCTGCCCTCATGCCCCATCGTGCACAGTTGATGCTGCGGGGCATGGGCAGAGGGCGTGGCTGCCATGGCGCTGCTGGGCTGCCTGGGAGATCTGCAGCGGTCCCTGGAGGCAGTGAGTGGCCCTGCGGGCAGGCGGAGTGGGGGAAGGGCAGGGGGTGGAGCAGGGGCAGGGCCAGTTTTTGGGCACTTTGTCTCTAAAAGGTTCGCCATCACTGGTCTAAGTCATCCCAGGTATAAAGTATTTTGTTATTTTGATAAACAAGTGGCTGAAGAGATGATGTAAAATAATTAGAAGAAACATTATTAGTCTTAGCCATCTTGAGCATATAAAATGAACTCTTAGTCGTATATAGTTCTGTAGATTACAGACACAAAAGCTTTGGAAAAGCGTAATAGCTATATTACACTCAGGAGGTCCAGCTTCCTACATAATGACAGAAGAGCTAATTTATTACCTCCAATGAGGAAGACTGGCTTATTCAATTACCTTAGCAATTGCTGTTATCTGCTCCAATGCCATGGAGTGTAGATCCTGATCTCTACTTTCCAGAAGTAGCTTCAGGGAAGGCAGCAGGAGAGACTCCTTCAGGAGCAGCAAACACAGGCTTTTTATGCACTGAAAACAAATAGAAAATCTGGGTGTAATTAGTCAACTTCCACTCTGACTCGGGAAATCCTTTTATGAAGTTCAAAACGAAAACCTGAATTCTTTTAAAGTAAGCAAGCAACCAAAAACCTCTGGTGAAAATTCAGCAAGAAATGTAAACGGAATTGTGAACGAATGAAGTGAATGGAGCAAAAGACTGCCTTGTTCAAGTGGCTTAAAAATTCCTTTTATGAGAACTGCATAGAAAAGAATTAAAGTACAGGTAGTCCTCAACTAAACAACAGTTGCTTTAGTGACCATTCAAAGTTACAACAGCAATGAAAAAGTGACTTATGACCATTTTTCGCACTTACTACCTTTGTAGCATCCTCATGATCATGTGATCAAAATTCGTATGATTGGCAACTGACTCATACTTATGACTGTTGCTGTGTCCCAAAGTCATGTGATCAACTTTTGCGACCTTTTGACAAGCAAAATCAATGGGGAAGCCAGATTCACTTAACAACCGTGTTACTAACTTATCAACTGCAGTGATTCACTTAACAACTGTGGCAAGAAAGGACATAAAATGGGGCAAAACTCACTTAACAAATGTCTCACTTAACAACAAATGTTGGGCTCAACTGTGGCTGTAAGTTGAGGACTAACTGTATAAACATTTTGAAGAGATGCCTTCTTGTCCCAGGGGAAGGCCATCAGTTGTCACTGCTGGTAAAAGGGGTGGAAAGAATTTCAGGAATCAAGCTCTGCATTGTGTCCCTACCTTATTTTACCCCTAAACATTCATTGAACAATTAATGTTTAAAAAGTCCCTGGAAATGAAGCTGCATGCAAGTTGTAGCCATTCATCCATCTCTCTCACAAACAGATACATACAAAATCTGGGGTACAACTGTGATTTTGCATACCAAAGGATTTTCAACAATACAAAACAGACGTTCATTCCAGAACAATTTTGTCTATTCATTTTAGTAAAACTTTTTTTTTTAATAGCAAGATCCAGTTCCAGCTGCAGTCACTTAGCATAATACTGTGTTTAAATATCTTTGTAGTTTCATGTTGTGCTTCTTATCCTATTAGATACAAAGATATGATTGCCATTAATTGATTATTTGTCAGGAACATCCCCTAAAATCACAATCTCTGGAAAATGATCATATGGAACAGAAAATATTTGAAAAATTAGTTCAGCCTTAGTACAGAACAAGCACAAAAGGAATCCATGTATCCATAACTGGAGTGTGACTGTAGCATAATTGATAAATTTTAGTTTATTTATTTAAGAAATTTATAAGCTGCCTATCTCACTAGCCAAAGCAACTTTAGGGCGCTTATAAGAAATCCAACAAACATATCTTTCTACTGGTTGATTGGCAGACTTCCAAATGGAGACCGGGCACTATAAAATGGAATTAGTTTCTCATCCAAACTCAAATCAGCATATATGCTAATTAGTCTATATAACTGTTAATAGGATAACAGCTTGCTCTATGAAGCATACTTCCACCGTTAAGAACAAGCTGGCTCAACTGTATATATATATATATATAGGATAAGCTGCCACTGTGTTAAGACACTTATTTGAATTAAAGGTTCAACAAAAGTTGTATAGATGATGTACCTTAGAGATTGGCTAGTGCAGTTCTATATATCTTTATCTTTTCTTTCCCGCTCCTAGTCTCTAGGAATAAAAATGTCATTCTGACTTCTTTGGAAAGAAGTTTTATAGTTCTAGCCTAACCTCTTATCATTCAGCTTCTTCACTTAAGGTTTTGATGGGTTTGCAGATATAAAATGCTACTGGCACTATAAAACTGCTGCTTCACCCAACTGTTAAACCTAAGAGCCATCGACTTTTTTTTTTTGCAAGCCTTGTACACATGGCAATAAATTGTGCTTTCCAGATGCATGAAAAATGTGCAGAAATATATGATCGGTATTTCATATTGTGCTCTACAAGCCTTTTGTTATATTGTTTACCAGAAATAAGCCTCTAAAATTGCAAGAGATGATGAAAAGTTCAATATTTCTAATTTTACTACCTCATCTACAAGGCATTTAATTTATTGGTTCTTTTTTCTTGTGCAATCACTCGAACAACAGAATAAATCAGTTTAAATAGTTAATACAATCACACCTCAACCACAGCCAACGGTGACTATTTTGTGTGCTGTATGAATATTGAACAGCTGTTATTTCTGGTTAGCAGTAGCTGAAATTCAAGACTGATGGCAATCCTTAACAACCAATGTGGGATAATGCTTAAGATGTTAGGTCAGGATCAGGAGAGAGCCAGATCCAAGTCCATCCTCAGCCAAAAAACTCACTAACCATTCACTTTCAATCCAACAAAACTGCACAGGGTTGAAGTTTTAGGAAAAAAATGGAGAAGGGAATACTACATTCTCTACTTTGAGTTCCTGCAGGAAATATGGGGTGATGATGATGACAATGATGTCAACTACACCAACCACATCTCTTATTGGGAAGCTTTACTGCAATGTTTCCTTACAGATCACATTTGTATATATTTATTATATTGGTAAACCTCCAAAATCTTAAGACTCGCGACAACTTACAATAATAATTTAAAAACCAAAATACCATTAAAAACCATAAATTAAATAACAACATAGCAATAAGCTGGTGAAATAAATAGGCAATATACAATTATAAGAAAACCATTAATGCTAAACTCAAAATAAGTGACCTTAGCTTTCAAAGGTCCTGTAGGAGACTTTACAGCTTTTCAAAAATGCCGGGATTGCTTTTTAAAAAATTATTACTATATATAGTTTTAGTTTGCGTATATAGCTCTGAATCACATGTTGATAGGGTACCTAGATAGATTGATTTAATACATTAAAAACAAATAAATTTCCCTAAAAATGAAAGGTTAGATATAGAAGAATAATTATCTAGTGTGGCTAGAAGGTATCTTCAGAAGGGGTTATACCAGTGTCTTTTTAAAGGCATCTAGGACAACACTCTCCTCTAAAGTATCATTTACTTCTTAGATCCAGCTACTCACAGCCGCCACTCAAAGTGCCAGGAAAGGCATGTATCTAAGTCCAATGCAGTGGAGCTCACAGGTCCTCATGAGCAGCTCCTCCTGCTCACCCTTGTATGTTTTTCAATAGGGTGAAGTATGAACATTTTACTGGCCAAATTTGCCATGCTGTCATAGTCCCATGAATGCTTCCATCTGGGACAGGGGTAGGCAACCTTGGCTCTTTTATGACTCGTGGACTTCAACTCCCAGAATTCCTGAGCCAGCATGGCTCAGCTTGGAAACCTCTCCCTTTCCCCTCAGCATGGCTGGCTCAGGAATTCTGGGAGTTGAAGTCCACGAGTCATAAAAGAGCCAAGGTTGCCTATCCCTGGCCTAGGACATATTCTTCATATTAGAAAATCCCAGAAGCAATTCCTGACTTACCAAGTTTTAAAAAGACTCAGGTAGGGGATTATAATGCAATTAAAATAAAGATCTTAGTCTAAAGCAATTATAATATATAAACAATATAAGGTAGGCATCTGATCCTGTGAAACTATATTTCACTTACTGAATAGTTTTGTTTTTATTGCATTAACTTGCTTTATTTTGGAACAATTTATTTCGTTATACTTTTTTTTATATTGGCACGTTATCTGTAAAGATAAAAATCATTAAACTTTCCCCCTCAATAAATAAATAAGTCAATCCTAAATACGTTTACTTTGCAACCCTCCTTCCCGGTACATTTCTGAGATATGTTTTCAGTTTCTCCAGCATGAAATCTGACCAGTCCAATCTCTAAAACATGTTCACAGCATTTCAGGGCCGTGTAACAATGAAAATTTTTATGGATGTGGTTGGGACAAAAGTGAAGCACAAAAGAGTCTGAAGCTAGCAGTTTATGATGAGGCGTTTGTATTGCCACATCTGGAGGAAAGGAGACTTCAAGCAATTTAGAAGTTTTAATATTTTAGCAAACTTTCAAAAAAAAAATACTGAATCAATAAAAGCTTAAGTGACAAACTCTGTAAATCAAACAAGTACTGGGTGTTGGTTAGCACTCTTGAATACCCTGATCCATCAACAGAGATGAAACAGAATTTCATTAGGAAGGATCCTGGCAGGAGCTTTGATTGAACTAGTGACATGGAAATGAATGGACAGCTGGGACCCATCTGTTGTCAGTAGTGACAAACTAATAAAAAATGCAACTGTTTCAGGACTTCAGACTCTGTGAGATTTGCATGAGAGCCAAATCTAGTGCAAATGGGTTGACGAACAAAAGGAATATCACTGCACCTGTAACAAAGGAGTTACTAATTGTTACTAAACTATTTCAGTAAGGAAGCTTACTATTATCATTCTATGTTTAATGAAGAAATTACATACATTAACGAGTTTACTGTCCATATAAACTTGGTCATGTCTAACAAGGACTCTAGTCATGTAAACTTACCTCTGCAGAGAGCCTGTGCTTTGTCTCGTATAAAGAGCGGCAGATCTTCAGAATCTCATCTCCCACACTCTTCTTTTGCTCCTGTAGGCACTTCATAAGCATCACTGTTCCCAGTTTAACCCAAAGATTATTACTTGAACATGTTCTAAAATAAAGGTAAATAAGTTTTCTTATGAGCATTAAAAGCAATTTGGTCTCTATTGCGCATATCTACCCACATGTACTTTTAAAAAGTAATTTTGGATAACATATATTGAATGCAAATAGTTTGTATAACTTTTACAGTCCATATAGTACAGACATGTCAAACTCTCGACGTCACATGACGTTGTGCAACATATCAGGACGGTTTTGCCATTGCCGGCAATGGGGTGGGCGCAACTTCCGGATAACGCGTCAGGCCCGTGGGCTGGCAGTTTGACACCCTTGATATAGTACATGATTTTTTTAGAAACAAATATGAAAAAAAAAATTTAACAGGACAAATTGTTTTAATGAAAAAAAAACAACAACTGCAGCCAAGAGAGAACTTTATTAGGAGGAGCTGCTTGGTAGACAGGATAAGCAAATAAGTCGTGAAGGTTGATATGTGTTTTCTGTAATATCAAATAAAACGTGATAATAGAATAAAAATTGAGGTCAGAGGCAAATAAGATAAAATATTTGTTAATCATTTAAAAGTTAGTAATAAGAGAGGCACAGTGGCTCCATGGCTTAATGACGCTGGAGATGGTCTCACCTCCGGCGGTTCGAGCCCAAGCACTGCGTAGCAGGGTGAGTTCCTGTCACTTGCCTCAGCTTCTGTCAACCCAACAGTTTGAAAGCATGTTTATGTAAGTATATAGATAGGTACCACTTTGGTGGGGAGACAAGATGGTGCTCTGTGCATGCAATTAGGTTCGTGATGGCTGTGAACTTTCCTGGTTGCAGCGCCCGCTTGTGAGGCAGCTCTTGGGAAGGGAGGGAGTCTTGGGTGACACTGCTAGGGAAGAGCTGTTCCTCTTTCTCTCTGGTGTGACGCCAGCTCGTCCTCCTGTGGCACAACGTGGGAAGTGCACAAGTGTATCCTATCATAGGGCTAGTACCTTGGCAAGTCAAACAACTACTCTGCAATTGCATTGTGGTCTCCTGGCTACTGTAACAACGCCATATGCTCGTAATAATAATAATAATAATAACAACAACAACAACAACAAAAAATTAAGTCAATTATGAAATATTACCCTGAATTAATTTTCTAATCTAGAGTCACAATTTGCATGGTATTATGACTTGGGCAATGATATTGTTTGAGTTTAGGCACAACTATCACACTTGAATTACCAGATATATCACCAATACTGTGCATTACAGCAAAATTCAGTAGGTAATAATGTAATAATACTCATAAATTATAAACTTGTCAAGACTAAATTAGTGTAAGAATCCATACAATTTATCGAATTAAAGCTTAATATTTTGTTCATTTTCTGCCTCTCACACTCTATATTCATTTGTCTATAAATCTACCTGGGGACAGGGTTTTGAATTTCAAACATTATGTGATTATTATTGGAAATTAAAAATGAAATTGTAATATGTTTTCTGGATCAAGATTAATACCGGCAGAATGATGAAAAGGGAGAATCAAAGGTGGCGTTAAACATTCTTATTTTTCTCTTTAATTGGATTGTGAACTTAATTAGTTAATAAACTAAAACAGATTACATTAAGAAAGTGCTATTCTAATTATTTGAAAAGAATTAATTTTAATACAAGCACCTAACTTATAAAAGCTACGAAATGTATAAGAAGTCACAACATTCGCCATCTTTTTTTATGCTTCAGGAAACGTTGCTTCAAAACTCTGGCTGCTGTGACTAATGAACGCATCATATGGAAACAAAGTATTTATCTCTGTCAGAAATGTTTTATTCATATGTAAAACTATGCAAATTTACATTCTGGTCAAAGATGATGTACAGATGATGTCTTTGATAAAGTGACAGTTTCTCTTTGAAAGAATCCAGAGGTAATCTGGAATGTGACAACTCAATAAAGAGACTGGAGAAATAGTTGAATGCATAACTGAATTAATACTGTGGAATGGTAAGTCTGCAGCCTGCCAAATCAGTCCAGTGAGAAAACATATTATGCCACAATAGGGGTAGCTACATAGGGCAGAGATTGTCTTCTCCAAAATACCATCTCATAATATCTTCTGGCCCACAAAATTATTTTCCCCACCACTGTAAGAGAACACAAAATATAGCAGTTTGGGTTGCCTTTTTTTTTTTTTTGCCCAAAATTAACTGAAGGGAGGTAAATAGGTAAAAGCCAACATTCCATGACCAGAAATCCATTCATACAGTAGAACTTTTTTTTGCCTTTGTCCTGTGTCCCCTCCAGTCTGACCCAACAAATTTTCCGGATCAGATTTTGATAGGAAAAATATGTTGAAAATAAATCCAAGGAACAATATAAAACTCCATAGCTCAGTGGAATATTATCAAGCAAAACCAAAACAGCTGTCATTCGTCATTACAGGAACTCAGATTTTGAAAGTTCAATTTCTGAGGTACAAGAGACAACTAGTGCTCAGTTTTACATGGCTCAGTGGCCAGACAGAGAAGAAAACAATTTTATACTTCACAAGTAATGTTCTTCTTCCACCATAATTCTTAAATCAATTAACTCAGAATGTATGGGTCAGAGAGAGACATATTAGGAAATTTTTAAAGCTATGTAGGTTAAGAGTAGTCCTATATTATAACCTTCCCCTTGTGGCAGCCAGAAATTCTTAGTTTTCTTTTGAAAAGGAAAGCAATGAAATTATGCTGTAATAGATTGTTTAAATACACCATAAATCTAAGCATGCTGGCTTTTTTATCCATATGCATAGCAGCTTTTTTTTTAAAAGGCAAGAGAGGAATCTGATGAAAAAAAAATACACGTAACCAAGCCATTGTAAAAAAAAACACCTATTTCTCAATGCAGTTTTTTCCTACTAAATAAAAATTTTGCTCTAAGGGAATTCCAAGTGTATATCAATGCTTTGTAAAGGTCAAATACAGACGAAAGTGCTCAAAATGAAAAATACTCCGAACATTTCACTGAAATGTATAGGTTATGCTTGAATGGACCCCCAACCTAATGATTCAATCTTCCATATTCCATCAGAACAAAATATGTATCAAATATTTTAATTAAAATAAACATTATAGAAGGACAGCTATGGTAGCCAAAAATCAGGAAGATTCTGGTAGTACTCTTTTCTAATTAACAGGCATAATCTTCCAGTAGTTGCTGCCCACTTTATCAGATGCATAGACTGACTAAACTTCCAGGACATTCTATTGTGCATTACAAAGTAACCATTTTGGAAAAAAGAGATTTTAACAGCATGGTTGAGCAAGAGATTGTTGAACTCACAAGTACATCAAAAGGTCTTAACAAATGCAATGTTTTTTAATTGATAAATTTTTAACCTTTCATGCAGCCTATATCTGTATAACCAACCTGTCTACTCCTTCCTTCCCCATTCATCTCATCCCATTGGAAATCCTATCAGTTTAGTCACTCTAATCCACTGACTAAGCAAGCAGTAGGTCATGATAGCTTAGGCCTTTTAATACACTTTGTTAATTAGAAAAGATGCTATTCGACTCATTTTGAATGTTGGTTTATGGTTCCAAATAAACCCATTGTTTGTTGAGATCTTCAGAGAGAGCCTGATTTTTTTTTTGATATTCAGCAATCTCTCATTGAATTGTGTTAGCAAAGTTTTTTCCCCCTTTCCTTTCAAGATGGAATGTCCTAGAACAATGGTCCCCTATCTTTCCAGCTTGGCGGCCTAGATTAGTGTATCTCTGTGTGTGTGGCAGGCACATACATGCATGCACAGCTCCATTGGTGCGAGTGGTAGGCGGGAGCACCCTCCACTCGTGTAAAGGAGCTTGTGCTCATGCGCAAAGCTCCACTTGCACGAGCGGCAGGCACTTGTGCTCGGGTGCAAAGCTCCACTGGCACGAGTGGAGAATGCTCATGCGCAAAGCTCCATTCAAATAGAGTGCAGCCCAGTAGTGGGCTGTGGGCCGGGGGTTGGGGACTCCTGGCCTAGAAGGCTGAAATGCTCTGATAGATCTTTTGAGTTAAATTTCATGTTCATTAATTCTTTTGTGAATAGTTTTGACTAGTTTGTTCTACATAGAATCCAGAGGGGCAAATGATGCCATATATGAATGGAAGAGCATGTGAAGATGTTGCTAAACATGTGTGTCAAGTTGTTGGGGATGCATGATGGGGCTGTTGATGTTGGGGCAAACTACACCTCTGGGCTTTTTTTTTTTTTTTGCAGGATCTGATTCTCATGTTAGTATCGTTCTGTTAGTCTGCTAATGAGAATCTATATGCAACTTTAGACCTGTCACCAAGCAGCTGAGAAACTGAAGTGTTCTTGTCTAGTTGAGTTGTATTAGCAATAACAACAGAACATGATTGTCACCTACAGTTCACAGCTTAAGCCTCTCAAAGTGTGCATGTATATGTGTACACACACACACACACACACACACACACACACACACACACATGTATGTATAATATTTAGAAGTCTGAACCATTTTAATTTCTATTAATCTTTCAGAAAATGCCTATGCATTTTAATTTGAATTTTGTTGGTCAGTGATCATCATAATAAATAAGTTTATGGACCTGTAATTTTTTGCACTTCAAAATGGCAAAAAACAGCAATTGCGTGGCCTAGAAATTTCTTATCACTTAAAAATAACAAGGAAATTCTACAATCATTTATTTCTTAACAAATGGAAAGTACATTCAGAATTAACACTAGGATAAGATCTACTTTAAAATCTCCAAAGGTATTTTAAACTTATGTTAAATGCAAAACAAATAACTTACATATCTGGGCTTTTCATAGGAGGCCAAGCTTGAAGAAGCATAACTAAATGCTGGAATTCTTCTTGTTCCCCACTATTTTCCAGAAGTTTCATGAAGAGAAGATACCTTTTTTCTTCATTTTCAATCTCTGTTATTTCTACCTAATAAATTGGGGAAAGCAGCGGATCACAATAAATACAGATATCAGAGTAGAGAACATAATTATTCAAATATTAGTTGCTTAGACTGTTAAATTGGTAGCATATTAAACAAGCGAACAAATATGAAGTATTCTTATGTTAAATCGGGTTTGTTTGTTCCCTTCAAGTCAATCTTGAATCCCAGCAACTGCATGGACTAGTTCCTGCAGTTTTCTTGGCAACATTTTTTGGAAGTGGTTTGTTTTATTTTTAAAACATTTTCTTACAAACCCAAATAGGAATATCAAGCACATGGCTTTCACAATTCAAATATCTCCTGCAAGATTTCTTGGTTCCAGTAACAGATCGATGCATGAAGGAGGACAGAGCAAAGCTACGAGTACAATGGAATTGTGTGAAGTGACTGGTGACAAGCAGAAGCTTAGGGAATCTTTGCATAATGGGACTTGGTTTAGCACCCAGAGGACAACCAAATTCTTGTTTCTTCTTGCTTGTTTTAATAGTCATAACGCAGTTTATTTGCTTCATGCCACCAAAATTCCTGCTCTACAGGAATTGGGTAATAGATTCCAGCAATATGCTTCTATGGTACTTAATACTGATTCAGCAGTTAATTTCACTTAGAGTATGCTTCATGCTTTATTTTCCGATATTTGTTACCAGAGATGCTTTTAATTCAAAATGGTTAAGTCTGTTTTATTTATCAATCAAATTTATAACACTGCTCATCTCACGTAAAATGACTCCGGGCAGTGCACAAACATTTGATGTGAATAGATTTCCCAAGGTGTAGCATTCTGCTTTTTTTTAGCGTAAGAAATGTTACTCTTCTGAGTACAATGGCCCTAACTTCCCTTAAAACATTTCGCCCCATTCTGATAGCAAGCAAGACCATTCCCAGCTTTAGATTTAGAAAGGATTTTATAAGGAAGAGGGGAACGGGCTTCAGATAAAGGAAGGGGCCTTCTACCCTCATCCCTATTAGCAAAGTGACTGTATAAGAAAAAATAAGGCACAGTAAATAAAAATGTATCCTTGATCTCTTTGCAGTTCTTCCAATTTGCTCTTTTTGGATTTGCATTTATTAGAAGCTGAACTTCAATTAATATAGAAAANATCAAGCAAAATAAACCTCAAATGTATAATATAAATAATACTTTAGAAAGAAAAAAACTGTTAAAATGAAATGTGACAGGAAAGAGCTGGTAATTAATTCAAATCCAGAAACTGGAAATCTGAATATTATTGTCATGAGAATATGCTATAAAGACTTCTGTACAAAAAGCAAATAATAAATACTGATTTGCCAGATATTGGATTAATACTGAGCACACTCTGCTATAATACAGGTAGTTCTCGAGTTACGAATGCAATTACGAATGTAATTCCATTCATAAATCGAGGATTCGTAGGAGCGAATCTCGTACCTTGAATGCAATTCACTCCCAGCTTTTGCCCATGCATTCGCCTGGAGCAGCCAAGAAAGCGAAGGATCTCGATCTTCGCAAGGTGAGTATCCAAGGCCTAGTGCAGTGATGGCGAACCTTTTAAGAGACCCAGTGCCCAAACTGCAACCCCAAACCCACTTATTTATCACCGGGTGCCGGGTAGGCGTGGCTGCAGTGGTCATGGCAGACTGGGTGGGCGGGGCCAGGGTGGCGGGGGCCAGTCCCTCGCCATCTCCAGGATATGGCACGCATGCCCACAGAGAGGGCTCTGAGTGCCGCCTCTGGCACGTGTGCCATAGGTTCGCCACCACTGGCCTAGTGCCTAGGGAGACCCGGGGTGGGGGTGGGGAATAGAATAGAAAAGAGCTGGAAGGGACCTTGGAGGTCTTCTAGTCAAGCTCCCTGCTCAAGCAGGAGAACCTATACCATTTCAGACAAGTGACTGTCTAGTCTCTTCTTAAAAATCTGGTTAATTGTCCTCACTGTTAGGACGTTTCTCCTTAATTTCAGGTTGCTTCTCTTTTTGGTTAATTGTTTCTTGTCCTACCTTCTGGTGCTTTGGAGAATATTTTGATCCCCTCTTCTTTGTGGCAGCCCCTCAAATACTCGAATGTCACTGTGGTTGTTCATAAGGGTGAACAAATGCCGTAGTGCGACAACATTCGTAATTTTGGAACTTTCTCGTAAACACAAGGGGGCGCTTATCGCATAACTTTGAACGTTCACTAGAATCAAATACCAGATCTGATTCTAGAAAACTTTGTCCATAATGATACTATTGAAATACTAATTTTGTTATAAGCAGTATCAGCACTGAAAAGAATGAGTTTTAAATGAGTTGAAGAAACAGTGCTGCTGAAGCATACGACATGAGGAAGCCAAGCATTTTCTTTTCTGGAAATTTAAATTAACTATATGCATTTGTTAAACACTATAACATTATCTGTTCATACTAGTCAAACCTCAAATCCATGGCAGATTTATTTGTATCCTAGCAAAACCCATGTTGATTAATTCAATTTGCAAATGTATTTCTCTATTATTCAGTTCTTCACTGCAATGTGAATCTGAATTACTACACCACTAAAAGCAGAATTACAAACAAGGCACTTGAGAGAAGATTCTAATTGCTACAATACATTCTCAAGCCCAATGAACTTCTAGTAAAGATCTGTTAAACTCCTATCTATTCACAAGAGAAGGCTTCTTGAAAATAAGTCAAAGATAACATATGCTTTTATCTTCAGATGCTGTGTTACAATCAAAAGAAAGATGAAAATGGAATGAATTCCGGCACTGATTCAATATATTTTGTTCTTCCACTGAGATTTCCTTGAATTACATACATAATTATGTATGTGTCATTATGAACTCATAGAAAAGCAGTGGCTCTTTGCTTCATCAAAAATTATCTTGAAATAGAAGATACTGATTGATAAATGATTATGCCATTTTTTCCCAAGAAGAAACGCAAAACAGGATAAATTACTTGTTCTTCTTGACTTAGCTCATATTCCTATGCTGTAACTTAGATAAATTACAGATCAACATTCTAAGCATCTCAGCTAGAGCAATTTTTCTTTGTAATGGCTTCAGAACATGAAATCAAGTGTCAGTTATGTATGTAATTACAAATCAGAATCACCCACAGACCATACGTGGCATGTATGGCATCACTGGAGGCTTTTAAGAAGAGACTGGACAGCCACTTGTCTTGAGGGGTCCTTGATGCTCTATGAGCTTGTTTGCTTTCTTGCAGATGTTTCATTGCCCAAACTAGGTAACATCATCAGTGCTAGTCCTTCTGTGGAATGGTATAAAGCAGTGGTGGAGAACCTATGGCACGGGTGCCAGAGGCGGCACTCGGAGCCCTCTCTGTGGGCACACGTGCCGTTGCCCTAGCCTTGACTCCCCCCGTGACCCCCTCCTCTCCAGCAGCCCCCTGGAGGAGAGTTGCCCAAGAGCGTCGCCCACACGGAGCAGTGCAGCCAAGGACATGGCAGCCACTCAGCGTAGACAAGACTCTGCCCTCACACCCCATCATGCAGTTGATGCTGCAGGGCGCGGGCAGAGGGTGTGGCTGCCATAGGGCTGCTGGGCTGCCTGGGCGATCTGTGGCAGGCCCTGGAGGTGGTGAGTGGTCCTGTGGGCAGGCGGGGCGGAAGATGGGGAGGCAGAGCGGGGGCAGGCAGGAGGGGTTGAGCGTGGGCAGTTTTTGGGCACTCGGTCTCTAAAAGGTTCGCCATCACTGGTATAAAGTCTCCTGCTGGTGCAGGAGGTTGAACCAGAAGACTTCCAAGGTCCCCCGCAACTCTGTTATTCTGCTCTGAACTGTCTGAATATTTTCCCTTGGGGAGGAAGGAGGGAAGAAATGTTGGGGAGGATCTTAACATACTTAATGATTCAGTCATCATGAAATTTATTTCATTCAATTTATTTCTTTCCTATTTACTGCTACTCTTATCTCAGCCAATTGCTAATTTATTTTTTTAATATATAATTTGTTGTATGCCTATGCAGTTTAGATCACATAAGTAAGAATCAAAAATAGCTGCAATAAAACAATATAAACTTTGCATAGGCATTTCTTTGCCAACAGAATAGTGTCACTGAAAACAAATCCAGTTAATTCAAGGGGGGAAACATAAATACCATTTCATTATTCAGAATGAAATCAAGAGCTACATATAACATAGTAAAAATGTTATGTTGCAAAATGCCATTAACACTGAATGCTTTGACTACCATACAGAAATAGGGTAACTGAGAACAGCTCAGCATATGGTTTTAACCAATTTTAGCTGATCACAAAAAACATAAGCAACACAAGAGCTGATGAATACTTGGATGGGAAGTAATTACTCTACAGTCTAGAGTCACATATTTTTAAAGAAACACATCCAGGAAGAAAGCGATGAAAAACAATATTCTTGTTACCAAGAAACCTATGTGGATGTACCCATGTAATAACCAGGAATTGAGCTCCCTAAGAGAATTTTTATTTTTATTTTCATCAAAGAAGGAATGCTTTCAAGTATTACAAAAGACAAGAGAAAAAAGAAATATAGTTCAGTTGAAACCCTTGTGCTTGCTAACTTTTCCTCCTTTCTGGGTATCATATACAGTGTTAATAACATATACCTAATTTTAATTTAAATATATTTTCATGCAATATGCTCAAGATCTATGCTTTTTTTTTTAAAAAAAAATACAGTTTTAGTTTAAATTTTATTAAAATTCATTAACAAAGAACAGGAATTAGAAAATGAAAAAATGCCCCAGATATTTATTAAGAGGAAAAAAATAGTACAAACAAGCACCTATTTAACAGGAGAAGAAACCCACAAGTGTACTGTAAGCCTAAATGATCAATGAAGGTCCAGAACTACTGTTTTATAAATAATTTGCTTATTTGTAAAGAACAAACTTTGCCATATGAGATTGCCTACCTGAGTCTGGGGCCAATAGGCTTTGAGAACAGCTTGTGTTCTAAATAGTATAAGTAGCTTGCTATCCTCGTCACTTAGGTGAAAAGCTTGCTCCAAAATCTGTAGCACTCTTATGCGAGGCCTCACTGGTAAAGAATCATCCCCACAGAAGGGCCTAAGCCAAGCCAACAAATCATCTGAAGACACCAGATTCTCACTGCAATGAAATCAAGATACACATCTGTTATTATTGGTTTTCATCTAATTGTATTCCATTAACAAATTCCATTCAGGTCCTTCTTGAATTAAGACAGTGGTCTCCAACTTTCCGACTTTGCGGACAGACAGAGGAGGGGGAGAGGGGAGGTGGAATGGGACAACTTGCTGCAGCCAGCTTACTGCAACCAATTCGCTATGGCCAACTTACCATGGCCAACTCACAACGGCCAACTTGCCGTGGGACAACTCGCCACAGCCAACTTACCATAGGACAACTTGCCACAGGAAAACTTAACATTTCAATTTAACTATTTAAAATAAATAAAAAAAATATTTTAATTTTTAGCATTTCATTCTATTCCTCCTTTCCCCTCCTTTCTTTAGTGATTCTATTCCACCACTTCTTTGATATTAGTGTAACTTTTCTCCCGCAGTGAGTTGTCCCATGGCGAGTTGGCCGTGGGAAGTGGTCTCACAACAAAAGTTGGCCGAGGCAAGTTGCCTGTGGCGAATTGTCACAGACCCGAGGAGGTGGTTCCATGTGAGCGGTGAGTGAGAATAGGCAGAAATTAAACACTGAAGTAGTTAACCTAAAAACTCTCAATAGATAGAAGATACACTAGTATTTATTTTTAAATTATTCTTAACATTTATTTATAAGGAGTTGGTAAATTAATTGAAAATTTAAGCTGAGAAAGCAGAATATCCTAATAGAAGCAAAGTATTTCCCAGAAACCAACTGATTCGTCATGAACAACCAAAGGCTTCCTGTTCAACATTTTCAGCAGATGTATTGTTACATACTATCAGAAATTTGCATTACTGTATACTTTTGTTTTGCCAGTTTTGGGTGGTTTTAAAGAAATTCATTCCAAGGAAATTATTTTAACATCATCTTATGGCTATTGTTTTTTCATATAACACCATCTATGTTAACTATTGGTCAGCAAAATTAAATAGCATTCTGATTACTCAACCAAAGAAGACAATGCATTTCTTGTCACTAGAGAAAAATCTGTATTCTAATGCCTATTCGGTTCTTCAAACAACAATATTTGTATAGTCAAATGCCGAAAGCCACAGAATATAAAAAAAGAGGTATTTGCAAATTTTCCTGATGACAAAAAAAGAAAACAAAACAAAATTGAATTTTTGAAGAAATAAAATGGATAATTAGAGTAAACGAATGGAGAAAGGGCCATGGTAATTAAACTGTCTATATAACCATTTAGTTTCCTGCAAGGCCCCTCATGTCTGTCTTTCTTTAAATTATTATTTATTCATTCAGAAAGCAAACGTTTGAAAATTGCTCCTGCCAAATTGTGACATTTTCTACCGGGACTCCCATTTGTTATGTTCTTGATTTAGTTCATTTCACAATGCTTCTTTCTAATGTGTTTTAGATCATGTTACCAATCTTTGATTCAAGGTATACCTGTGAGAGAAATCAGGATCTTAGTCCAAGAAAATAGTTAACTTGTTGATTTACGTTTATGTTTAGTACCAACAAGCCTAATGTTTACAGTCAGTTTAGGCTGCATCTCTATCCTTCCTCACATTCCTCAAAAGTAACTGTATTCTTGAAAAATAAATTTGGGAGAAAGAGAAGGAAATTCTCTTTCCTTCAAACATCTAGTTTAAGTTTGGTTTTTAGCTTTACACTGTAAATCTGCACTTAATTCTTCATTAGCATAAACTCTCTGGGACACAATCTTTATCTGAAAATAGGATGCAAATACAGTACTTAATCCATACTAGTGTGTGTAAGCTGTGGAGGTGGCATGCTTTTCCCAACTGTTTTCCTAGATATGCTTCATACTATTGCCTTTAACCTATCCAAACCTGGAACCAAGCCATATTGAGCAGAAAATAGTTTACTCTCTCCTGTCTTCAGCAATAACTCTTCTACAACATGAGGCACTGCTTCTTTTTAATATACTTTATTCACCCACAAATCCTTTAGGAATAGTCTTTTAATATCTTCCTTCTCAATTTTTTCTGAGAGGGAAGGATGTGGAGCTGTCTTTAATTTAACTGTTCCTATTTTCTCCAAACAGCTGCTCTTATTCTCCTGTTAATCCATTTGAGTCTGATCTGTTCCTTCAAAGCGTCACATGAATAACAATATTGCAGCAGACTAAAGTTAAAAAGCATTTTCTGTTAATTTTAAAAGTACACAAAGAAGCAAATTAGAAAAGGACGTTCCTAGAAATAATTTACTAGATAATAATAACAGAGTAATAATAGTTTTGTTTGCTGACTACCAAAGTAAAAAACTGTGTTATTTCATTAAATAAGAAGCATCATAAGCTGTAATAGGTACAGGCGGTTTTTCTTGTTCTAACACATAGACTATATACTGAATGACATCTGTGATTTGATGAAACACATAATCAAACAATCTTAATATGATGCTGTAGGATTTACAATATTCAAGTTATCAAGAATACCACCACTGCCCATTTCAGGCAACCACTGCCCATTTTACCAGCTCTAAAAGACTATATATTTGTATTTGTATAAATAATGCTTTTATATTCATTGATAATATTTCAACTTGACACTGTTGTTTTTTTTTCAAATGAAAAGAAGCAGCAGGTAGCATGTGATTTATATTTGAAGTAATGCTGCTGTAGTCATTTTAACAAGACAGATGGGAACATAATACCAGCTAGAAGACACCAATTCAACCTGTCTGAAAGTGCTGAAATAATATAAGCTGACAGTTTAAGTTATCATTTCATAAAAACTTCAAAATTTATTTAGCCTATGTACTCTTTTTATATTCCATCTCTCAAAGAACTGGTGCTAAATTAGAAATGAGTTTTTGGAGGAGGTGACATTTGGAATGTAAATTAAAAAGTTGATAAATTAAAAAGAAAGCAATTGAGGCCTTGGCTTCAAAAGTTAGGCAAGCTCATTTTTCAGATAACTGTATCTTCCTGAAGGGAACCATTTATATTGAATTCCTACAACATCTGAAGGATACAAAGGTAAATAATGTTTCATGGAATACAAGTCTAAGACCTTATTATAGTAATATTGGTATTTCAAAATTTATCTTCCTACTAGCATTATATATGGATTTGTGACTAGGTTCATTGGGCTTTTCCGTGGGGAAGATAACAGCATGCACAACAAACAGTGTAACAGTTCTTTTGGAACTAATATCTTGAAGAGTTATAGCAGGATGGATACAGGAGGTACCTATTTGAGAACATTTGCTGCCAGAGTATACACACAAAGTGGAAGTTTAAAGGCTACAGATCCACTGGTGGGTATGGAACTATCTGATTCTATTAAAACATGGACAATGTAAGAGAGAGAGAGAAAGAGAGAGAGAATGAAAGAGAAAGAGAAAGAGAAAGAAAAAGAAAGAGAGAGAGAATAAAAAGTTCTTGAGGAGGTAAAAAAAAAAGTCCCAAACAGTATTAATAAAATAAGAAAGGATAGTAGAATGTATGTACTGTGAAAAGGACAGATTCCTGACAAAAAGCTACAAAGCTGCAGGTTTCTGAAGAGGGCACAGAACGGGAATCTGACATTAAACATACGGATGTGTGAAGAAAGCATTTCAAATTTGATAGGAAATTAGTATGAACAACAAAACCAGAAAGTATCTCAAATCTGCTGACTATTTGCATGAGCAAAAACATAGTTGAATACAGCATGCAAGATAGGAAACAAAAATAAAATATTTTTTGGCCTGGGTTACCAGTCCTGCTCATAAACTGGTTGCATTTACTCTGCCCCAGTTCCTTTCTGGTTTGGGAGATCCATAGAATCATTTCTAAACTGTTTGATTGAATCCAGGGTTTTACAATTAATTCAAATTTGATGCATTTTCTTATTTAGCAACTGTAATCAGGTTTCACATTACACCCTCAAAACTCTTACCCATTTTCAGCACTTGTGTGGACAGCGGAGACCATGTCTTCCAATATCTGAAAATGATCTTTCTGAAAAGAATGCTGATCACCCCCTTCACTGTCAAATGAATAAAACAGAAAGATGCTTATTTGGAATCAATGTTTCAGAAATTCCAAGGCCTGCATGTATAAATGTTTTGTGCTGCTTATCAAAATAACAATTAGCCAGAAGATACGCTGACTGAGTTTATCATAATTTGGCTTGCTTAGTTTCGGTTCAGTGCGATATGTGAATCCAACCATTTGTGGATTCACAAACAAATTATCGTTTAGTAAGCTGTATGAACCCATCTGAACTTGTCCAACAAATCCTGTTTAAACAACCCATGTTTTAGTGTTACTATGAACTCAACTTTCATAACTGGCTTCGAACTCAACTTTCATAACTGGCTTTTATAACTGTCAGAATAGTTTTTTTAATAAGAAAATTAAGACACAAGATCCCCTCTAATTAATAATAAAAAGTATTTTATTGCATTTGCCAGGAAAGTTGTCACATTAATCAGTATTAAGAAACCACACTTATAAAGACCCTAATATGAAAGCATCTTAAAAAACTATCTGACATGTACTGAAGTTGCTTTCTTGGTTCAAAATCTTGAATAATTAAGGATCTAAAAGGTTATTAAAGCTTGGTCTCCCAAGAGCCACAATAGTAATAACACAGATCTTCACAAGATTCTAGGCCTCAAATCTGTTAGGAATTTTTCTGGCAAAAAATACATTCAGAGTATAATTTTCTTATTTTTGGCATAGAAACAAGCCATGTTAAGGTTTCTGAACTGCTTCTATTGCATAAATAACTAGGGACTAGATTGTAATAACTTATATAGACGTTTATCAATGTTTTAGAAACATTTGAAATTTTAGGCATTTCACTGTTGCAATATTTTCTCTTATACTTTTAAGATGCTGCCTAATTAATTTACCGCTTTGTGTATAAAACTCTCATTGCTTGGCTATGTGAATAGAAAAGACCATTAAACAAAAAGGTAAGACTTGCTAAAAGAAAGTTAAAAAGAAAGTAATATATTTCAATTCACTCTTAAAAAGTGAATTGAACTTGCTAAAAGAAAGTTAAAAAGAAAGTAATATATTTCAATTCACTCTTAAAAAGTATTATGTGAGAGAGTATCTAGAGACTGTTAAGTGATTTTCATGTTAACATTCAATCAAATAGTTAGACTTGTGGTCATGCCACAGCTAACACCAGTTTATAATCTGAAAAATATAGCAAAAAGTATAACTAATAAATAATTGGTATTATTAATGAAGTGTGTGTTTTTATGGCTGCTATTTATTGGGGAAATGCTGTGTGAGAGACTGAATAGGTGCTGACATTTCTATTGCCTCTCTAATAATTGCCTCTCTAGTAAGTATTCATAAACATCCAAATAATTTAAATGAGGAGAAGTGTTATCAACTGTCATCTACTTAGCCATTAGTGACTGGCTGTGGGCATCCTGCTCCACTAAATACAGTCAGTATATAAGAAAGTGACATCTGCTGACAACTTCAGTTTCAGATTTGCTCTGAAAAAACCAACAGCACAGCTGGCAAAATATAGCACATATTCATATATGTCTTGCATGGCATTATTATATTAGAGGTTCTTTCCCCAAATTTATTGTCATACAGTGAGGGAAAAAATTATTTGATCCCCTGCTGATTTTGTACGTTTGCCCACTGACAATGAAATGATCAGTCTATAATTTTAATGATAGGTTTATTTTAACAGTGAGTATCAGAATAGCAACAAAAAAATACAGAAAAACACATTTCAAAAAAGTTATAAATTGATTTGCATTTTAATGAGTGAAATAACTATTTGGTCCCCTGTCAATCAGCAAAATTTCTTGCTCTCAGGTGTCTTTTATACAGGTAATGAGCTGAGATTAGGAGCACTCTCTTAAAGGGAGTGCTCCTAATCTGTTTTTACCTGTATAAAAGACACCTGTCCACAGAAGCAATCAATCAATCAAATTCCAAACTCTCCACCAAGACCAAGACCAAAGAGCTGTCCAAGGATGTCAGGGACAAGACTGTAGATCTATACAAGGGTGGAATGGGCTATTGCCAAGCAGCTTGGTGAGAAGGTGACAACAGTTGGTGTGATTATTCGCAAATGGAAGAAACACAAAATAACTGTCAATCTCACTCGGTCTGGGACTCCATGCAACATCTCACCTCGTGGAGTTTCAGTGAAAAAATCTGTGGAGGGAGCTGAAGGTTCGAGCTGCCAAACGTCAGCCTCGAAACCTTAATGATTGGGAGAGGATCTGCAAAGAGGAGTGGGACAAAATCCCTCCTGAGATGTATGCAAACCTGGTGGCCAGCTACAAGAAATGTCTGACCTCTGTGATTGCCAACAAGAGTTTTGCCACCAAGTACTAAGTCTACTAAGTTTGACTTACCTCAAAGCAGCTATCACTCTGATTAGAGCTGTCTCAACAATATCCTTGGGTGAAAGCCCTAAATCTCCAACAGCAACATCCAGTAATGTTTTTATCATGCTCAAAGGTTGTCCATCTAAGCACATTGTTACAGCTTGTTCATGGATTCTT